TGCAAATATTAATTAAGAATAATTTTAATAAATCTTATTCACCCTTAGCACCATAAGAATTGGATGTACGGACGCGTTAGGACTTCATAGGGAATTTATCGCATTATAGAGCCTGCAGTACATTAGAACAGTAAATGTAATACTTCGATGTAAGTAAAATTGTTCGGGTCAAGGATTGTGACAAGTTCGTCTAAAAGACTGGCCCTTCCTACCACAATTTTAGACATTGTGTCGCATTCTCTATCTTCATACATAATATTGGTATTCAGTACTTGACGATAAAAGATTAATCTTCCACATTACTTGACGTCTATGGCAATCGCATTGTCTGTTTCATGATGAAGAGAATATTGCGTAATAATTGTTTCGAGAGATTTTATACAAAGTAACCTTTCTAATATCGTGCAACCCCCTCCATTATTTCTTAGAAGTTATTTGGAAATGAACGATCGTTACTCTATTTCTTCTCCCTTGTGGGCCTAGGCGATTATGGCTCTCCATACTTTCTTATCCGTTTGGATCTTTAGTAAGATTCCCGCCCTACTTGTTTCCCCATCTAGTCACTCATGCTCCTCAGCTAAGTGACTCGTTGTCTTACCTCATCTCTCTTGCCCTCTGTATGCCGTGTGTTGGTTAATTTTTCCAAGCCCTCCTTTCTCATTATGTGTCCAAGTAATTTAATCTATCTTTTCCTGGTACTGATTAAATGTTCTTTCTATTGCCATTTTCTTTAACACTTCATTGTTTACTCGTTCTCTCCATGGAATTTTCAGTATCCTTCTGTAGGACCGTATTTCTGCTGGCTCTAGTTTTCTCCTCGTCCGTGGGGAGATCGTTCAGCGTTCATTTGCCATATAACCGGATCAATAGCACACAGCAATTCAGAACTTTTTTGTTATTCTTAACGAATTCTTTAGGTTTCTGAAGACTTTGCTTAGCTTTCAGAATTCTTTTTCTCTATTTCGATGCCTTTTCGGATCTGTGTTGTATTTGCCATCCTCTGTTAAACACGTTCTAGATATTTAAACTTCTGCAACTGCTTGATGTTTTATATCTCCAATTTGTAACTCGCACCTTTGACTTTTTATCTTGCTGATATAATCGGATATTTACAATAAGATGTAAAATTCCGTTGTACGCAGACTAATTTTAGTGGTTAATTAAGAAAGGCAAACTTAAGTCTGACATGAAACTGTTCGCCAATTTGTGACAATAAGGTTGACGTTAGTTATTTTTTTTGAATAACTGTTTTTAATATCCCAATCCAGAGACTTTCCAGCCCTGTTGACCGAAGTCTTCTTTTATCGCAGATTGATCATGGGTGTAGCCGTAGTTACCACGCTTGGACAACTGCGTGTTTCTAACGTTATTTAACCCATAGTTCGGGGTCTTGAATTCGAAGTTCTCATTCTAGATAGGTTGTCACATAAGGCTATAGGACCCAGTGATTCTTGGTATTTATCAATAAATGGTGAAGAGATGGATTCATGTATTTCTCAATGAGATTTGCACGGAAGTAAATGTAATGAACAAGACTGGACTTCGAACTCTACTTACCGATTCCTCAAGCCGAACTGTTACCCAGTATTCCCTCATGCCTTTTTGTAATTTGTTCGACGATTATTTCTTTTCATATTTGTAAAGGCACAGTGGAGTAAGGGATAGCAGCTCAGATTGAGGGATCGGAGAGACGAGTTCGATTTCCAGTCGAATCCATGACATTCACTCACTAATTCCTTCGAGAAAGGTATGAATCTTCTCCCACCAGCTATAGGTAAATAGCAGGGCAAACTAGGATGGCTACTGGTCTACTGCAGAAGGAAATGGCAACCTACTGCGGGAAAAAATGTCATGTATCTAAAGATACATGGTCGCCTAAACTTGTATCATGCATAGTACATAAGTGACTGATAGTGTAACGAGAAAACGGTATTTTGATAATATAAAATCGAGCGTCATATGGCTAAAAAAACTAGATTTTTTTTTGCTGCCTTGTACAAAGCTTCAGTTTTGCTACTAATGCTGGGTTTCCAAATAAGATTCTAAGTCACTCACTATTTTTTTTCATTACGATTTTGAATAATATTACTAAAATAATCGATAAAAACAAACTTGCATTGGACGACGATGTTTCATAAACAGTGAGCTCTCGTCTTGGCATCTAAAGCGTGAAAGTTTGCCTAAAACAATTTGGTGTGTAAATTGAAAGATGGCTTTGAGATGTATTTTTAAAACATCGATTCGACGTACGCTTGGGAAATGCCACAAAGTATATTCGGCAATAATGATTTGATAAAATCATCAAAGAAAGTCGAACAAATATGAAAACGCGTTAAAAAAAAAAAAAAACTTTACCATAAATCCTAACAAAAAAATGTAAATTTTCGAATGTCTTGAGTTAAAATTCCATTAACCGGAAACTAAGAAGCCATGATTAAGATTTTACTAGTATTTTCTTTTTAAATTTTAATTTCAGTTGCTTTTTATTGCAACTCTTGGGACTATCATTCTACAGAGCGGCGCTAGTTGGCTCTCTGTGCTTAAACACTAAACAGCAGTGAAATATGTATCATTATAGTTCAGCCAGTACAAGACTCGATGTACTAGGTTACTTTTAAAACGAGGTCCGATATGAAAGAGGTAAGATTATGGTAATAAGGTGGGGGGGTACATAGTGATTAGATGTGGTACAAAGCCACAAGTATGGAGCACAGAAGTACTCTCGCGAGATAATCTTGTTGACAATGAGATTACGATAAAGTACCTACGAAAGAGATAAACAACAAATGACTCTTGATTTGAAGACGTTAAGATTATAGTGTTCAGGGGAAGAAACCTAATTCGGAGTCTATTCTACAAAGTGGCAGTTCTTTAGGAAGGGCAAACTGTCAGAGTGGAACTTTTTTTGCCTCTGGAATACGAAAAAAATTGGGGGAGGGTTCACTCCTATGAGTGTAGCAGAGTTTGTTCTAGCTGTAAAGGTCTGAACTGTTGAGACTTAAGAATGCCAAACATTCGGTATGGAATTAGCCATCATCTGTGGGGTAAAAAGTTTCGGAGCGAAGAATAACTATCTCCTCCCCCCACACACAGAAAAGACAGTGTAAATGCTTTTGAACTCTATCAAACTAGAAAAGGAAGACTGTGTAGTATCATCTCACTTATGGTATAATAATTGTTTCTAGTATTTCAAAATATAACCAATATAAAGCACACGTATCACTGGCTTTAGTAATTATGTCCGTATAAACATGTATATGCACAAAAGTTGAGTATCATCTGCCATGTACTCAACTGTGAAAGCAGAATAACATAGCATATATTTATTACTTCAAAGCTGCCAAGAAAATTAAATTTCGGCATTAAGTAACCTATCCGCCATAGAATCATAATTTCCTACTACTTCCTCTTGCATTCATATCACACACTTCAAGGTAGAGGATCACTGAAAAATGTGATGTGTGTGATATGAACGTAAGTAGGAAGTGGACTAGGAATATGGCGTCTAGGTAACGATTGATCCTAGAATTGACGGGCTTAAGATTGGGGGGGGGCGTAGAGTCCATGTGGGAGTTTGTTCCATAAAATGGTTTTTTTTTCCGTCCCCGTTGTGTTGTGCCAGACTAAACGTATTTGATGTTTGTTTGTTGTGGAATAATGTTTCGGCAATTTTGGATAACAACTACTACGCCAGTGTTTGATTCTCACTAGGTGCCCCGTTCTCGTACTGCGTAACTATAATAAATAAGATTAGATATTTACCGAGGTAAGCGTGGGATTCACGTTGAAGTTCAAACTCACTAAACTATAGAAATCATTTACGACACTCGATAATAAAGCGAATAAAAAAAAAATTACGCAGTCCTTATTTCGATTAACCTATTACTTAGAACAATTACTTCTCTACTTAAACAAAAAAAACGCTATTTGTAAGCAATAACATGTAAGATGGTAATGGTTAACGTTTTTCGATAGATCAATTACAATTTAGTATTGAATTCATTCCTCACCGAGTGCTCCTTATTTTTGACCTTGTCACATCTATGCTACGCTTAGTAAATCGCTTTCATTGTCAGATAGCTATAAAAGGGTACTGTTGATTGTTTTTCATAATTTCGTAAAATAATGTACAGACTACTGTTTGTATCACGTGGCAATAATTATAAGTAAAATGATGCGCTAAAAGAAGAAATCATGTAATCGTTTTAAGTTCTTTGAATATCATTGCCATTTAGCTTTAACCCATATTAGGAAGTTAATTGATTAAACCTTGCCCCGCCTGGCATCTTAATCAAAAGCATGAAAAATAGAATAAAAGAAAATTAGACGGACCTTTTTGGTTGAATTTAATAAAACTTGTTCAGAGCCATAATGAACTGCAAGTCGTCTTTCGTGTTGATGAGACATATTGAAGATATTTTCTATCATCCAAATCTTGGGTTGGAGGATCTATATCGGCATTCCTCAATATTGGTTTTCAGATTTTTAAATTTAAAATTTTTATTTTTTTTTATTTTAATCGGATCTCTAATTTATTTTCTTGTAGTTGGATCTTTTGAAACTACAATCATTCTCAAATCGGGATAAATAGAATCTGGATTTGAATTTTCTGTCAAGGGAAAAAAAACTCTTGTTAAAGGGATTTTGTACTGGCTAATTAGAGTGATTGTGTCTTTTTTTTTCACTTTTTTTTCTGTTTTTTTTTTTTTAACATTTCAAAGATTTAAAAAAAAATTTTGAGTCTTCAAAGATGCGAAATTACTTTTCGAACGACCTAATAGTCTTGAGAATTGACGCCGGTATCATTAAATTAAAAATGGCGTCATCGCAAACATTCGAATGCACTTTAAATGCCGCATGCCATTTAACTACAACAACAAAAAAGGCTGCCAATTTTTAAGTCACCTCTTCTTACGAACCTTTCGTTGTTTTCTATAGACGTCATTAAATCCAGAGAAAGATAGCAATTAAATTCAAACTCCAAAGTAATTTCAAGGCGCATGCGTATAACCACAAAATCGCCAGTCAGATGTCGTGACGCAATGAAGAGTGCGATGAAAAGTGGTGGTGAAGAAAATCATAAATTGTCGGTGCTTACAGATCGGTGACATCATTGCGCCGATATTTGACCTTATTTTTATACGAGAAGAACGACCCGAAAATCTGCTCTGATTTCTTAATGAAGTTTGTCAAAGCGCTTTACAAATTTCCATTCGATCGGCCTACATCCCTTTTAGATCGGAGAATTTTGTGTCTGGTAATCATTTAATCTGGATTTGCGCAATACTTCTGAAATTCCATAAAAAGCCAGAAACCAGATTAACCATTTTTTTTTGTTTTTAAGTGTCTTATATGTTTGTGTTTCTGGCGTCTTTTTCGATTCTAGCGTCTCTTTCATTTTGTTCTAGTCTCATTTTCTTCTGGCGTCTCTTTTATTTTGTTCTGGCTTCTGTTTTATTTTGTTCTGATTTCTTTATTTTTTTTTTTTCTTTTGTTCTGGTTCTCATTTTTTTCTTCTTTTGTTCGGGTGTCTCTCATTTTTTTTCTTTTTTGTTCTGGTGTTTGTTTTTTTTCTTTTTTTTTCTGTCTCTCATTTTTTTTTCTTCTTTTGTTCTGGTGTCTTTTTTTTTTTCTTTTTTGTTCTGGTGTTCTTATTTTTTTCTTCTTTTGTTCTGGTGTCTCTTATTTTTTTCTTCTTTTGTTCTGGTGTCTCTTATTTTTTTTCTTCTTTTGTTCTGGTGTCTCATTTTTTTTTCTTCTTTTGTTCTGGTGTCTCTCATTTTTTTTCTTCTTTTGTTCTGGTGTCTCTCATTTTTTTCTTCTTTTTGTTCTGGTGTCTCTCATTTTTTTTCTTCTTTTGTTCTGGTGTCTCTCATTTTTTTTCTTCTTTTGTTCTGGTGTCTCTCATTTTTTTTCTTCTTTTGTTCTGGTGTCTCTCATTTTTTTTCTTCTTTTGTTCTGGTGTCTCTCATTTTTTTTCTTCTTTTGTTCGGGTGTCTCTCATTTTTTTTTTTCTTTTTGTTCGGGTTCTCTCATTTTTTTTCTTTTTGTTCGGGTGTCTCTCATTTTTTTTCTTCTTTTGTTCGGGTGTCCTTTTTTTTTTTTTTAGTTCTGGTGTCTTTTAGGTTTCTGTGCTTTTTTCTTTGTTTATCGTGATTTCCATTAAAATTTCATACATTCTAATTAAAGCGTTCAGTGAGAACAAATAAAAAAAGCATATATAGAATTATTTACTTTCTGACGAATGTCCTCGTGGTTGTTATCACCATGTTTCAGCCGTCATTCCTTTGAGGTTTACTCGGGGGTGGGGGTTGTCGATCTGGTCAACCTTCAATAAATTTCGAACTAAATCTTATATTTAATTTATTGGGGTAGATTTTTCTCATTCCACCCTTCAGGCCTAGGTTTATCTGGTCTTGTTAATTAGTAATGTTCACTTATTGCTCGTACTGTTTCCATTGATTCTAAGTCTGTACTAGCCAGCCCAGGGATTGAACTGCAAATCATCATACCATCAAATCCACGACGCTATTGTCCTGAAGTGCGCAACAGCAAGGATGAGGATTCTCGTTTCTATGTAAACAATGACAATTCCTTGTCTCATAAATTCAGAAATAAGTATATATAGAAATTCACTCAAAGCGATATTATTGTAGAAATGCTTTTTAATTAATATTAATGTTTCTGTAACCCGTAACTTTCCAGATACGTTTTTTATTTTTTTAAATTCTATCAGGACCCAGGCGGTCATGACTCTCAATTGATTTTTTTTTTCTCACTATCAGTGAATTGTCAAGATAACTTTGGAAAGACAGTATTCTTCACGATTTGGAATTTATTTTTCTTTCTTTCGTTACCACCAAAAGCTTGAAAGCGTAAGTAATTGAGGAAGAGATGGATTCATGCCTTTCCCAAGGGTATTAGTGCGAAAGTTAACGCAACTGATGAGGCCAGAATCTGAAATCTCCTAGACTATTTCACTTTCTGTGCTGATAACTGTAACGCCCCAAGCACATCCCACGGATAAAATATTATTAACTACATCAAAAATTTAAATTAAAGTAAATATTGAAAGCACAGAGAAAATAAATATGAAACTTTTCACAGTATATTGAAGAGCGCGTAAACAGAATAAAATCTGAAATTGAAAAGTTTAAAAAAAAGAGTATGGTGTCTGCTTGTTCTTTCGAATTTAGTATTTGTGAGTAAAATTGATCGCACTGTTCAAGCAGCAGAACAGTGGTGTAATGGATATGTTATTTGCCTGCTAACCTCCAGATTGGATGTTCGAATGAGGACAGAATTCAATTGGGTATTGTCTATATTTATTCTAATTTGACCTAAATTACTGACAGAGAAACACTTTATACGATGTTCGAAATATTATGCCAAACGGGTGTGCTGAGGAAATAGAAAGGGTTCTCTCTCTATATATCTCTTATTCTCTCTCTATATATCTCTTATTCTCTCTATATATATCTCTTATTCTCTCTATATATATCTCTTATTCTCTCTCTATATATATATATCTCTTATTCTCTCTCTCTATATATATATCTCTTATTCTCTCTCTCTCTATATATATATCTCTTATTCTCTCTCTCTCTATATATATATATATCTTATTCTCTCTCTCTCTCTCTCTCTCTCTCTCTCTCTCTCTATATATATATATATATATATATATATATATATATATATATATATCTTATTCTCTCTCTCTTATTCTCTTATTCTCTCTCTCTCTCTCTGTGTCTTATTCTCTCTCTCTCTCTGTGTCTTATTGTCTTTCTCTCTCTCTCTCTTCTCTCTCTGTGTCTTTAGTGTCTTACCCTCTCTCTTTCTCTCAAAAAGTCTTTAGTAACCCACTTTTTGTGTGTGTTGGTCTTCTAGAGAAGGTTGCGTTATTCCAGTGCTATAAATGAATGAATGAAAATTACAATTAAGACGTCATTATAAAATCTATTTACTCGCTAATTTGCCTCTGTGTAATACACTAAGATGCAAGGCGTTACTGTGTGTGAATACGAATAAGAACAAAAAAAAACTCTATCAAGGAGAGGGAACAATAAAAGAACAGGAAAACCGAAGATAACCACTGACATTGCATTTCTATTTTCGAAGATCAAATATGACTGGAAAACAAGAACTCCGATGAATTCCACAAGCGAAAAGTACGAGAAAAGAAATTATTAACTGAGAACTTAGTTACATCTCAGCATTCTAATTCTAAAAGGACATCTTGCCGCCAATCTATTCTTTATCTGTTGTACCCACCTCAGAACATAGGCGATCATGGCTCTCTACAATTTAAAATCAAATAGGTTTCTAGGGTACATAATGAGGAAAGAGTGATTGGAAAATCTGATACTCAGAAGACAGATTGAAGGCAATATTAACAGAAGAAAAAATACACAAGATATTTAATGAGTTTTAGTAAACAGATGGTGCAAGAGGGTTTAGGAGAAAAAGGAAAAATAACTTTTATTAAAAGCTATAAAGGATAGGAAATTGTGGAGAGCTATGTTCGCCTACGTTCTGTGGGATGGGGACGATACAGTAAGAAGCATGATTTCGAATGATATAAAGAATTACGTTATGAATACTATATTTTTTTATTCATTTTCGCAAAACCTCAAAAAATCGAAAACATATTCCTGGTGAATTGTAATAGGCATCAGGTGATGGTTAACTGAATCTGCTATCAAACATTAGAACCAAACCGGAAGAGATGCTCTACAGGTCAAACGATGTGTTGTTGATATCACAAAGCCAGCGTGGATTACAACATAGCTTTTAATATAAGCATTTTAATAAAAATAATGCTGTTGATTCTTTATCATTGAAGAAGACTGAGAACGCAGGAGTCTTTGGGGAATTGGCACAAATTGAATACTATAGTCTCTTTTATTACTATCCATTCGTTTAATTTACCCTTTTTTTTTCTTTCTGATTATTTTGTCATATCTGCGGTAATTTTCTTTTTTCATTCTCTCGCTATGGTATTAGAAAAACGGTTATTGCTATTATTTGTGTCGCCAAATGTATTATTCGTCTTGGTCGATTGATTCCATCTTTTATTGAAGTCCTATAGGTTTTTTTATTATTATTTTTTTTTTTTTTTTTTAGGAAGTCAGCAAAAATTACCACCAAATATTCGGAATAGTTTGTTTCGCCGTCATCCAATGAATACGTTTTCTCTCTCTGACCTCTAGCTCAAACATTTCGAAATATGCCCACAATAATTGTCAGTGTATGTGCGTGCGCAATATATATATATATATATATATATATATATATATATATATATATATATATGGATTGATATGAGTTTGTGACCTCGAGTTTCACGCTATTTGCGATCATCAGTTTGTCTGACGATCGCAAATAGCATGAAACCCAGGTTCACAAACTCACATCAATCCAACTAAATATGTTAGCTCAATCCCTGATTTTGAGCGCTTTCCAATAAGCACCGTGCATATATATATATATATATATATATATATATATATATATATATATATATATATATATAAAAATTGCATAGAAATAATTAAATGGTCAGAGTTGAAATAGAGGAGGAAACCGCATTAAAATTTTCTCAATGCATGCGTGGGAAAAAATAACATGCGGAGCTTTTAACTTTTTTAAATTAATTTTATATATATATATATATATATATATATATATATATATATATATATATTATATATATATAAAACATATATAAAGTCACAGTAATTATTAAAAGCCAATTTAAAAGTTTTTGCGATATTTTGACGTTTCCAAGTTGCTTTTCGAATTAAGGATTATACCAGGCCTTCAAAATAAAATTTCTAACCCTTGGATGATTACAATAAATTCTTAAAATGCTATTTTATCTCATGCGCAGCAACTTTCTAAAGTATAATTCGTTTTGCTATGGCTTATCAACCCCTTGCAGGTTATTTAAAGCCAGAAAATATTCTTGGGTTTTATTTGGGGGGGCGGATAATTTAGTGATAGAGATCTTATTAATTAACCTATAGCTGGTGGGGAAGAAGTGGACTACTACCTTTTCCAAAGAGTAGTAAGTGAATATAAGAAATTCAAGGGGAATTGGAACTCGGCTCCCCGATTAACAATTCCGAGCCATTATCCATTACGCCATGCACCCATTCAAGTTTATAGCATCTTTTATTCCCAGGTAGTCACCAACGTTGGTACTGATCAGGCTCGAAGTTGCTTACACTACTGTTTACTTTGTGTGCTTGAGATATATATTATAATCCACATAGACTGTTTCATAGCTCATCAGTCTGGCTAGACATCCGATTTCAGGATCAAAACCTGGCTGATTTGGTATCAGTTGGCGATTCTATCCTTGAGCCATTGGCGCACGGCATGGATGAAGAGTCTTGCAGCAGTGATAGTCACTGTTTACAATTTCACTTTTCTCTCCGAAGAGCTCAATCGAAATAATTTTTTCAGGAGCATGTATTCTCACGCACACAAAGTAAACAGTAGTGTAGAATTGTCTTTTTAATCTTGGATAGCAACTAGTCTAAGAGAAGTAATACTTTGAATTTCAAGCAATAGAAAGCAATGGAAATAACTCACTGTATCCCAAGAATGAATAGCCATTCAGATAATAAAAGAAGCATTCTGGGGATTCGTGAATTTTGACGTCTTGGAGGAACATGGCATAAAAAAAAAGGAACGGAAAATAGTTAGGAGCATTGGTTAACATCCGACCGGAAACCTTTGCCATTTACCAAAAACAATTTTTATTTCAATAACATCTTTATGGTAAGCAGCTTGAACTTGAATGGAAGTAGTTTTTCCCCCGGAAACTTTCTGTCCTTTAGTGGAAAATGTAATAATCAATGTGAAGCATTTCGCCTTTGGCGTTTGCGAAGTCGGTTCATACGAGAAAAGGTCGTTTTTTTTTTATTGAATTTCAGTCGTATGTATTTTATATAAACTGAAATATAGTTTTGTTAACTACTATAAATTAGCTCTTTCGAGTTTGCTCGTGATAACACGGTTGGGAATGATTTAAACATATATTCGAAAACGTTCCTTCAACGATAATCATTCATAAAGTTAGACTGTAAATTAATGGAG